CTCTTGTGCTTGCCAGGGAAGCACTTATTCTACTAAGCCATCTCACTGGCCCCCTGTTTTTCTTTAATATATTGGAAAATATACTTGACTTTTATGGAAGTTACCTTAATTGTCTTTTATCTTTTCTTTAAAATGTAGGGTGCTTCCATTCACAGATTTTTTTTCAGGTTAATATGTATGAATTTTGAAGTAGCTGAGAGTTGAACTGGGGGTGGAGCTCATGCCCATAACACTGAACCACATCCCAAACCCTTTTGAAATTCTTTATTCTGAGACAGAGTCTCTCACTCAAGTTCTCCAAGCTTATCTCAAACTTATGATCTTCCTGCCTCAACCTCCCAGACTGCTGGGATGTTACTGTTATGCACCACAATCCTGGGTTGAATGGTATTTTTGTAAATAAATGATCATTCTCAATCTCATTAATATTAAAGCTACTTAATATTAAGAGCTCTGGGTTCTCACCAGATGGCCAAGATTAGATCCTGACAAATTATCAGTTTTGCTTATGTCCATCTTAGCTTCAGAACTTTTATGATTTAATAGAACCCTTTGCCATCACAGTTAATATATTCTGAAAAGCACAAGGGAGGATTTTTCACATATTGTGGTTAGCCAGCTTTTTTGAAGCAGTTCTGAAGATCTCTGATAGATGCATTTAGTTTTATAACAGACAAATTATTCATTTAGTTCTTCAGTGAAGCAGTGTCCACATTTCCACTAGGCTTTCCCAGCCTTGTGGCTATTCAATGACCATTCCCAAAGGAGCTTATCCTTGGGGTAAGGGACATGGGGAGGGGCATGTTATTTAGAGTCCAGGCTCTAAATGAGTTTGTTTTGTGAATGTGTAAGTGGGTAGGCAAGTACATGCTTTGAAAATTCATCCTATTTTCTTAGTGGAGTATACAAGGATTATTGAAGACTTTCTAAATGTCAGGTGAGAAACACTTGCTTTTGTTGCTTCAGTTTTATCTGACTTTTAGCATGGATGTTGAACTTGTTGGAATGACTGCATTATGCAAGAAGGTGATATCATTTTTTAAAGTTTATTTTGATTAATTGAAGATCTCATTTGTTTCAGTTGTTTCTATTCTGGTTTAAGATCGCACAAAGCAGTATTTGCAAATCGGTTTGAAAATTAAAGAGACTGGCAACAAGAAATTTGTTATGTGGCAGCTCCCTCCATATCCCAGGAGCTTGGTCCTAGGCTCCCCTAAGAGAAGCAAAGCTCACAGATGCTCAGGTCTCTTATATAGAATAAAACTTCATTTGCACATCACCTCTCATATCCTTTAAGCCATCTCTAAATTCCCTATATTCCTAATAAGATACATTTCTGTAAATGCTACAGAAAAAAACTGTTATGCTGTATTGTTTAGGGGATAATGATAAGGATAAAAACTGGGCCAGGGAGATAGCTCAGTAGAATAAGCGCTGCCTTACAAGTGCATGATACTGAGTTCAATCCCTGGTACTGAAAAAAAAATTAAAAAATAAAAACTGGATGTTCAGTACCAGGACATTTTTTAAAACAAGGTACTTTTGATTCAAGGTTGGTTGGATTCACAGAGGCCCGTAGGTGTACCAGCTGTCTCCCAGTGCCTACTGTTTAACTCTGCTAACACCAAGAAAAAAAAAAGGAGTCATCCATCATAATTTTAGCAGCAGCCACAGCACAGATCCCACCACACTGTCAAAGGCTTCCTCCAGGTTTCTACTGAGCTGGGTGGAGCATAGACAGTGTGCTCCATCCCAGCAAAGAAAGAACCAATTTTGCAGATTTAGGTAGAGATTAGAGTAGTAGTGGGGAAGATAGGGGAAATTCTTTATGTCTCAGAATGAATCTTGTCACTCAGATTTCACAGTGGCAAATGTTTACATTGTATTTAAAAGATAAAATTAAAAAAATCTCTTCCCTGCCTTCTTCACCAGGGTATATTTATGATTTCTAAGCATTTGGCAGCTTTTCTGAACTGCAGAATGGAAAATGGCCATTACTGTGATTGATGTTGTAGTTTTATAACTAGAAATTAGGAACCAAAGATGCTGTTATCGTAATAATATAGTTCACAGTCACAGAGCACTTGATGTCCCTTGTGTGCTTTGCAAGGTTATATCCTGGAACACTCATGAGGTTGCTGCTGCTTTTGCATTTGAGAAAACTAAAATCAGGAGAGGTGAGGTCATTTGGCTCAAGATTAAAGAGCTAGAACACAGAGATTTGGAATTCTAAACCAAATCTATCTAATATCGCACTGCTTTGTAAATTGTTTCATCTCTTCTCCCCTAAATAATAACCTTGCCTCCTGGAGTATGTATTTTACTTTAGAAAATTTAGAAGTGCATTTTCTTTTGATCTAGGTAAGCTAAAAAATAAAGACTTGATCTGAAAAAGAAATAAAATATATCCTCCACACTCTTTCATTTTAGAAAGAGCCTTGAAACAATCTGTATTATTTGCACATTTGGTAAAATGTGATTCACAGTGATGATCCCACTGTCTCATGTGAAAATGATCTGCCCAACAAAGGAATGGGTAGATTCTAATCTTCAGATTGAATTTTTTAAATTCTTATTTATTTCATTATTTATTTGGTACAGGATATACAGGGTCTACAGGGTTCCACTATGTAGATCAGACTCATAGTGATTCTCCTGTTTTAAGCCTCCCAAGCGCTGGGATTACAGATGTGTGCTACCACAACCAGTCTCAATCACCGGCTCAGTGCGCCCCGGGGCAGGGCCGGCATGGCCTGCTGGGAAATCGAACCCTGGCCCCTGGGCTCTGCCTAAACAGGCACTTTAATCTACTGAGCTATCTGGTGGGCCTCTTTCAAATTGAACTTGAAATTTAGATTTTATTGTTCTGGTTTTGCCTGTGTGTGCTTTGCCTGCTGAGCAGTGTAAGTCTGTATAATTCAGTGCATCCTATCTGTTCATCCTAGATAATTCTGAACTCAATGCATAAGTACCAGCCTCGGGTGCACATCATTAAGAAGAAAGATCACACGGCCTCGCTGCTCAACCTGAAGTCTGAGGAGTTCAGAACATTCATCTTCCCAGAGACAGTCTTCACGGCAGTCACAGCCTACCAGAATCAGCTGGTGAGTCCAGGTCACCACAGGGCTCCTGTGGAGGAAGGAGAGTAGGATGTATATTCAGGATGATGCACTCTTCATAGCAACATGCAGAACTGTATTCTCATTACTTCATGAATCATTACTTTAGAAGTTCATTTTCTGATCAGTTAAACACATCTTCAAGCCTACTGCCCAAGCTGCTGATACTTTAACTATTTTGTGATATTCAAATATCTTATTTGGGATAAGATAATTCTAGTGAAATGGCTTTACTGTCTCTTTAGACAGTAAACTGCTGGATGTAAAGCATTATGTATTTAATTAACAGTAAGATGTCTAATTTATAATCCTAAATTATGTATCTTCTCTCTGTTATACGTCGTGCTTCATATTTGTGCATTTTTTTATTCATGAGGTTTTTTATAACTTCGCAAATATCCATCCGGGTCCCACTGAGGGCCCATCTTGCTAGACACATCCATGTACACTTTTTTCTTTCATGATCAGCAGAGCCTGGAGGGCTTGTGGAATAGTAACACTCCCTATAGGAGGAGGCTGAGGCCAGGAGCAACTGCGTTACTTTTCCATAGTTACTTTTCCAACTGAGTTACTTTTCCAAGACCAAAAGTAGAATTCTCTTTGAGGTACTGGGAATTGATTCTAGGGTCCTTGCACTGGGGTATGTTCCCAGTCCCTTTTTAATGTATTTATCTTTGTGATAGGGTCTTGCTAAATTACTGAGCTGCCCAGGCTGAGTTCAAACGTATGATACACCTGCCTCAGTCTCCCAGGGTGCTGGGATCACCTACCTGCACACCATGCCCAGATAGAATTCCCTTTGTGATATAGCTATTTCAGTAAAAAGAACTAATACTTGAAGTTTACTTAAGTCTAACTATTTATAACCCTCCTAGGACTTGCCTTTTCTCTCTGATTAGCTGTAGGTAGCCAGGACAGTGGCTCTCCTCCTGTCAAGATGCAGTATTTTGGGCTCCAAATAAATAGCAACTAGTTGCTGCCTACAGGGGCCCCCAGAGTCCATCCTGGGTTAGCCAAACTGAGGCAATATGAAGCAGTCTCTTTGGAAAAGCCAGACAGAGCTGAGAAAATGCAGGCCAGTGAGAGGCTGTGGGACCGTGGCTGGAGTGAACATGGAAAGTTAAGTGCCTGTTTCCTGTAGGACTCTGACTAGACCTCATGTCCTCCCTGTGGTTGCCATTTTCTTTACCTAAAAACTGAGGTTGGCAACTGTGAAGACCTCTTAGGCATCTGCTGGGCAGGAAGATCAAATACAGAGCAGATACACTGCCTTTGCAAACTTGGAGCTGGACCATCTCAGAAATGTCAAGAGAGTTTGTCACCATTTGGATCTTAAAGTCTTAGTGACATTTTTTTTTAATGAGACAAGAGTGCCTGGTGGTTACCATATGAACTATCTTTTTTTTCTTCAAAATTTTATTGATAAACAGATAGCAATGAGACAGTTTCAAATCAAATCGGAAGTACAGTTTCAACAAATAATACACTGCATATATTCTTCTTAGTG